CAGGAGGAGGCAGAACTGGATGCTCCTGCCCTGTTATTCAGCTGGAGCAGCAGGAGGAGGCCGAGCTGCAGCTGCTGTGGGCACCCTGACCTTGTGCCCAGCCCAGCCATCTGCAGCTTCCCAAGGTTTTCCTTGATTAAAGCAGGCAGCAAGGCCAGAGAGCTCTGCCACTCACCTGCCCCAGCTCTGCTGCCTGTCCCAGGGTCCCAGAGCTGTCAGTCTGTCTGTCCCCAGCCCTCAGAGCAGCCTCTCCTCACCTGTGCTGTGGTTATTTCTTGTCATTTCCTCTCATCCTTCCCCAGTGCACAATCCCAGGGTGTTGTGACCCCACAGCTCTGCTCAGGGTGGGCATGGGCTGAACTGGCTGTGCTTGGGAAAGAAGCAAAGGTGGAGGAATCTGCTGTGGAGCAAAGGGTGTCAGACAAGGCCAGGAGAACAAACTGATTTCTTGCAGCCCCTGCTCTGACCCTCCTGCTTTAAATTCTGCAGTCCTGATCCTAACCAGTGTCTGGAGTTCAGGAGAAGCAGGGGTTGTGGGGGGGTCCTGCCATTTGTGAGGTCAAAAAGCAAAGCTCTGGCATTTGTGATCCATCACTTTACATCAGCTGAATGAATTAAAACGTGGCTCCTCATCCCAGGGTATTTATGACCCTGCTGTTCTTGCTTGTGCCTGTGCTTCCTCCTGATCCAGATGTCCCCCTGAAGGAACAGCCCTCCTGTGGCCTGCTGGTTGTCACAGGAGGAGCTCCTGGTTAGTGAAACAAATGTACTTAGTAACAATAATGGAGGTCCCAAATACACTGGCAACTCTGACTGACCAAGGAAATCAGAATTAGCACAAGGCACTGCTGATGGAACAACATTTTTCTGTTCATCTCTGGTCAAGAAAGATAAATTGAGCCTGGAACAGTCAGAGGAATGACATGAGGATGGCTGGGGACATGGAGAATCCTCTCAAGAGTTAAACCAGACCATGGCTGCTTTGACCCAAAACAACCCAAAGCTGAGAAACAAATCTGATTTCTGATAAACACTTCAGGGTAGGAAAGGTCAGAGGTGTAAAAGAGCTACTTAAAATAAAGTCCAGATAATGGCATAGGAACAAATGGGCACAAAGTGGGCACAAAATGGGCATTGCTTGGTGGCTGAGCTCTAGATTTTGGAATCTTTAGTACACCAGCGGTGTGACATTGTTCACAGGGACCTGAGGAGGAGGGAAGAGATGAGGATCTGACTCCATGTTTTCAGAAGGCTTGATTATTTAGTATTTTATGATATATATTACATTAAAACTATACTAAAAGAATAGAAGAAATGATTTAACCAGAAGGCTGGTTAAGAATAGAAAAAGAAAGAATGATAACAAAGGCTTGTGGCTTGGACAGAAAGCCCAAGCCAGCTGACTGTGATTGGCCATTAATTAGAAACAACCACATGAGACCAATCACAGATGCACCTGTTGCATTCCACAGCAGCAGATAATCAATGTTTACATTTTGTTCTTGAGGCCTTTCAGCTTTTCAGAAGGAAAAATCCTAAGGAAAGGATTTTTCATAAAAGATGTTTGTGACACCAGCAGTGTATGAAAGAGGAGAGAAAACAAGGAGCAGCAGCAGATTTGCTTACTCACAACTTTCCCTCCCAGCCAAAGGAAAGCTGGGATGTTCCCAGTGCTCACCAGCTCCTCATGATCTGTTAATTTCTGATTTTTCTCAGGACCCAGCTGCTGTAGAAGCTCACTGTGCCTACCTGACCTCAGGCACTGCCCTGGTGCTGTGCCTGCAGAGACCCAATGCTGTGAAGAAGCTGCTGGATCTCCTGGGACCAGAGGATCCTCAGCTGGCCCAGGCACTGGATCCACACCTCTGGAGGGCTCAGTATGGCACCAGCACAGTCCAGAATGGATTTTATGGTAGGTTTTTGTAAAAGAAAACTCCAAAGGCTCAGATATACAAAAAGCCCATGTGTTATGTTATGTTTGTTCCCTCTTGTCACTGGATCTGTCACTACAGATCCAGCCTTGGCAGGCACTGCAGGACATTATTCCCCAGGAAACTCTCCCTGTGTTCTTGGTGGCTGAGCTGAGTGTGTCTCAAGCAATGAAATATTCTCCCAGAAGATAAATTCCAAAAGGCTTCCTCCCAGAGCAGCCCCAGCTCTGCCTTTATCAGAACACATTTCCTTTGATCTCTCTTTGCTTGGTCATTTTGTACTTTTAGCTTGGTTATTTTGGAATTATTCCCAAGAACCCATCTGTCTTCCCTGCCTGTGTGTCCCTTCCTGATGTCTCCATTAGCCATTGGCCAGCTCCAAGATTTCCCAAAGATTCCAGGACATGCTGTAACATCTCCCAGTGCTGAGGGCAGGCAGGACAGAGGTGACCCAAACCTGCTGAGGCAAGCAGGGCAACTCAGCACCTTCCCATCTGGAAAGGCTCTTTGCAGCTGGCACATGGGCAGAGGCACAGGGCAAGGCAGCATCCTTGGGATTCTGCCCCATCCCAGCTCCTCTGCCAGCAGGGAGGCACTGGGATGTGTGTAGGGAGTGGTAAAGGATGGGAAAATGGGAAATATCCCTGGAGAGAGCAGCCTGTGGAGAGCCCAACATCCCTGCCACAAGGAGGGAAGGGTGTCATTCCAAAATTCACATGGAATTAAGGGTGGTTTGCTCCCTGCCTGTGTTTCTCTTCAGGAATATAAAAGGAATATAGAAAAATAAAGCAATAATTTCTGTAAATTCAGGTGAGCAGGCAGGCCCTATGTGCCCAGAGTCCCAGAGGAACTTTCCTGACAAGATCCATTGGATTGTTTGGCTTTTCCCATTGTGCCTGGGCTGTGAAGTCACTCCCTATTTCCATCCATGTCAGGTGGGCTGCTGAGAACTGGCAGGGAGGGAAGGAGCCACAGCCTGGGAGAGAGAACCAGGCCCTTGCTGCAGAACCTCAGGACTTGGGATCTCAGGAGAGATCCCACAGGGTTTGTGGGGGTGACTGAAGAGCAGGATTTACTTATAAAAAAAAACAACAAAAAGTGATCAGTGCTCTCCAAATACTTTTCCATTATCAGCCCAATACTTTTCCATTGTCAGTCCCTGCTTCTCTTGCTGTTGAGATGAATGGATGGTTTGTGTATCCAGATTGCTCTGAAACTCCTCAGGCATGGCTAAGAATGGGTAATGAACATCCCAAATTTCAGATGTTTGCTACAGCTGGAGCATGCCCAGCATAACTCAGTGAAAATGAACAAGGGGAGCTGAGTCTCATCCCATTTCTGTTGGGAGCTACAGGGAGATCCTTGGATGTTCTGACCCCCTTCAGCCCCCCAGGCTGGGACCTGAGGTTGCTCTGAGCTGAGCCCAGGACTGACCCACAAATCCCTCCCTGCACCCATTGCAGGAACAGGGATGAGCTGGAGCTAACTCTGATGGACCTGCCCATCAGAGCCATCTATCCATGAGCAAAGGGCTGTTCCTAACCCCCTGCACCTCCCACAGCTTTTCCTCCAACACAGTTAAGCTGGAAAAACCTTCAGTGAGTAACTGGGGGACTGTGCAAGCCCATCCTCCTTTCCTGGCAGGGAACACCAGGCTTTCCTAGGTTTGCTCCAGCTGAGGAAGAACTTCAGTTAATGCCTGAAGCAGAACAAACTCCCACTCTTCCCTCCCAAAGTGACAAAGGAAATGCAATTGAGATGAAGGTGGGGTTCCAGGGAGACTGGTGAACCAAGAAATGCAGCTTTAAACCTGTAGGGCTGAGCTTCAGAGGTGAACCTGCTGCCTCACATCTCCTCTGGGCTTGGGAAGTCATTGGACTGTGCTTTTTGTGCTTTTCCTTGCATCCAAAGAGCTCTTACATGTGCACCCTGCACTGTCTTGTACCTTGAGCAAAGTGAGAGCAAAAGGCTCATTTGGGAGCATTTGTGTTCTGTGTAATGGCACCAATGATGGAAGGTTTGGTGTGGAGCTATGGAAAGGATCCAGCCCAGCTCATACACTGGGATTTAACACAACCTCAGGATTGTAAACTGCTGCCTTAAGGGCTCTGGCTACACAAACCCTGGAATTATGGTGCTCCAGCAGGGCTGAGTGCTCTCAGGTGGGGTCCTGTGAATGGGCAGCCTCCAAGGCGGGAATATTTCAGAGGATATTTGTACCCAGGAGCATGGATCTGTGCCAGCACATTGACAGTCTAGCTAAACTCCAATAGAAATAGCTTTTCCCTCTCTAATATTTTCCATCCACAAATCTCCAAACATTCTGAGTAATGTTTTGTAACACTGTTGCTTTATAGGGAAATATTCAGCTGCTGAGCCTGGAGGGACCTCTCGAGTCACTGAGTTCAGTTAATTCCCTCACAGACTGAGGGGAATCACGTTTGCCCTTCCATGAGCACCCACCCCAACTGGAAGGATGTCACAGAGCCTAGAGAGCTAAAAATCTTCTTATATTTTCAAACTTAAATATAGCCACATACACTCTGTGCCCATTTGTTCCTGTGCCATTATCTAGACTTTATTTTAAGTAGCTCTTTTACACCTCTGACCTTTCCTACCCTGAAGTGTTTATCAGAAATCAGATTTGTTTCTCAGCTTTGGGTCGTGTTGGGTCAAAGCAGCCAAGGTCTGGTTTAACTCTTGAGAGGATTCTCCATTTCCTTAGCCATCCTCATGTCATTTCTCTGACTGTTCCAGGCTCAATTTATCTTTCTTGACCAGAGGTGGACAGAAAAATGTTGTTCCATCAGCAGTGCCTTGTGCTAATTCTGATTTCCTTGGTCAGTCAGAGTTGCCAGTGTATTTGGGACCTCCATTATTGTTACTAAGTACATTTGTTTTACTGACCAGCAGCTCTTCCCCTTCAGTAAGGGCAGCCTGGTGTGATCCAGAAGCAAGGGAACAACAGGATTTAGAGCTGGAATTGAAAGGTTTCACAGCCTCCTGAACATGATTCCCTCAGCTCCACTGTTAGGAAATAGAAGGGGTCTTGTTTACAAGAGGAAGCTGCTGGGTGATAGTAGGACAAAATCAAAATACCAAGGAAGCAATGGAACTATTCTAAATATAATGGTTTAAAATGTTTGCTATTACTGTACAGAACAGCTGGCCTTTAAAGCAATTACTGCAGTGAGTTGCACATCATCAATCTCTCCAAAAGATGAGTGTGAGTCTAGAGAATGTTTAATTCATGGCCTGAGAGAATCTTCTCATTGTGTTTCTCTCTCAGGCTCCAGATCCTATGCAATGGCAGTGCAGGATGTGAAGCTGTTTTTCCCAGAAGGGCTGTGCTGTGCCCAGGCTCAGCCAGTGCAGGAGCAGGAGGTAGGAATGAGCCCCTTCCTGAGCTGACCCTGCCGTGCCACGCTGCTGTTTTGCTGTAGATAATGCAGCTCTGGGGGTGTTTGCTGAGCTGCCAGGCTCCCCTGGTCCTGGGCATGTTCCTCCCCCTGCCCTGAGCCCAGCAGCCTCGGTGGGGAGGAGCTGCTGCAGATGTGTTTGTTCAGCAAGCTCTGCTGTGAATTTGGGAGGGCTCAGATCAGCATTGCTTTGGAGCAGGGGCAGCAGCCTCACCCTGGCTGCTGAGCACTCTGCACCCAGGAGCTGGCTTTTACCAGCTTTGGCTCATTCAGGGATGGGATGGGATGTGGAAATGATTGGGATGTGCTCAGCCAAGGGAGGGAAAGGTTTGAGTTTGCTGTGGCTCAGAGGTGATCCAGCTGAGATGCCTTCCCAGGAGATGAGCTCTGGAAATGGCCACATCTGTAACAGAGCTCATTTATGTGGGTGTGCAGCTCAGTGCAGGGCACCCTGCCTGTGCCAGTCCATTCAGGGACACAGGGAGCTGCTGCACCCCAGTGTGGCACTGGGGAAAGCTGTCAGACCCTCCCAGGCTCTGTTTGAGCTCCTGGCCTTGAAAACCTGGGAGTGGAGACTTTAAAATGATGGCTGGATATGGGACCTTGAAAAGGATGATGAGATGCTGCGCTGAATTAAACCTCAATTAAAAAGAAGAATGCTTGCAAAATGTTCTTGTCTCTCCAGACAAACAGGTGTTTTCTAGGCTGGCAATTACAGAAGTACACCACAACAACAAAAGCTTCACAGCTTGCCTGAATCAATACTCGAGGAGTGTTATCCCTCCTCATTAGGTAATGTGTTCACATGACTTGCTTCTCCCTCCCTCCTGCAGATCCATAACCTGAAACACGACCCCATCCTCAGCCTGGGAGTCAGGAAACAGCACAAGATCCTGACCCATGAGCCAGGAAAACACCCCAGTGTCCTGGGCTCTGAGCAGCCAGGCAGTCCTGGTAAGGAAATGTAACTCCTCTTATGGATTGGGGCTGCTATTGATTAATTGGACAGCAAGACAAACCATCTGGTGGCAGCAAGATTGGGTATTGATGTGCTTTCAGAAGGGAGAGACAGCTCTGAGCTGCGGAGAACAGCTCCAGGGGAGTCCAGCCTTTAACTGTTCACCTGCCAGCCCTTCAGGGCTTTACAGACAGAGCTGTCCATGAAGTCTGACCTTAACAGCAGCAGCAGCAGAACAAGCACTGACAGCACAGCTGCAGTCAGAGCAGTGCTTGTTCCTCTCTGAGCCCTCCCAGGTGTCTCAGCACAGCCCTGGTGGCTTGTGTCCATCCAGAGCCTGCCCTGGAGAGGCTGCAGGGCTGGGCAGGGTGAGCTGTGCTGTGCTGGGAGTGGATAAATGTCAGCTGGTGCAGGGAGTGCTGCTGGCAGCGTGGCCAGAGGCCTCTCCTGAGCTGAGCTGAGCTCTCATTCAGCTCCCAGTGCTGCTGAGCAGCTGCCAGCTCCAGATGACTCCCAGCCATGGCCAGGCTGGCTGTGATTGGGAGCTGGAGCCTCAGCCAGGCTGACACTTTCTGAATGCAGCAGCTCCTCAAGGCTTCTCCTGCTGATTTGGCTTGATGGACATGTGTAAACACAGCTGTGCTGCAGGGCAGGAGATGGCTCTGCACGAGGGGATGCTCCCACCTTGGGATGCTGTGGATTGATCCCAAGCTTTATAAACAAGCAGGGACCAGGTGAAAGCATCCCTGTGGTGATCCCTGGGGAATAGAATTGTTTAGAGCAATTATTCCCATTCCTGTGGCTTCAGGACTGATGTGGGCAGCTCAGAGAATGTTGCTGTGCTACACCTGAGCACTGCAGTCCTTAATCCCAGCAGTGGAGCCTCAGGATTGCTGTGGGAGGGAGAGGAGCAGGGTAAAAATGACAGAATCACAGCCCAGCCCTGCCTGACACAGGACTTGGGGGGCATTGGTCACTTACCAGCAGGTGCAGAAGTGCAAGGGGAGGTGGTAAATCAAGTCCTCTGCTCCTGGGGTGAACACCAAGTCACTTTTGTGCAAGGAGTCTCTGAAGGAAGATTTGTCCCAAGGTATTTGAGGAGGGTGTTTTCCCCATCATCTTAGTGCAGGTTTGCTGCGATCAAATCACTTGATTTGTAGAAGAGATTACATAAAACAAAATAAAATAATGAACCAGCTTGTTGTGGAGCGAGCACAGGTATTCTGCAGGCTTTGCACAGCTCAGTGTCAGGAGCTAATCTCAAAATACATGCCCCTAATTTCCTGCTACACGAGGATATCTCAGCTTTGAAAATGCCTAAGCAGAGTAAAAAGGAAAGCTGTGTACAGCTCTGATGTGTTTGTGTCTCAGAAAATGTATTTCAAAGAGTTACTGCCCTGGAAAAGCAAGTCCACGTGATCTCTGAACTGTCAGGCACGATCTCATGAGTGCCTCCAGCAAAGCAGACACATCACTCACGTTCTGGGCTCTTCTTGGACACTAGAGGAAGCTCTTGCACACAAGGAAAGCTCCTTCCAGCAAATAATTATCACCAAGCTGCTGCCTAATGGACAGGCAGATTTATCAGGAGGAAAATATGAAATACATTAAGCCTCACTTATGCTGAGCAGAATTACATTTGGGATTATAAAAGCAGCTGGATTAGCAGCTCTCTGTGCTTGGCAAAAATGGAAATGGGAGAGGAGCTCCCGTAGCAAACCAGCAGTTGTCCTTGTCTGACTCCTGAAATGGGGTCACTCCTGCTGGCTTGTGATCTCCAGACAGGGACACAGAGGCGTGCAGCAGCTCAGGCTGGGCACCTCCCTGGGCACCTCCCTGGGCACCTCCCCGGGCATATTCCAGGACCTCCCTGGGCACCTCCCTGGGCACCTCCCTGGGCACATCTCCAGGCATATGCCAGG